CAAATAGTTTTTTTTGAAAAGGACAGTTTTGGAAAGATAGATCTATGACGTGTGGATCAAGTCATGATCCCATGATCTATGAGAAGTCCATTGATGTGGGTTGATATTTTTTTGTATAATTCTCTTATCCGATTGACCCATACAAGTTAAAAAAAACGTGGGGCTCTAAAATGATATTTTCATGTGGTTCAAACAAGATAAAGATAAATAAGGTAGTTAAATATTCCATTTCTATTTATCTAGATAGTTGAGAGATACATTAAGCTTTTTTTTGTAGAGAAGAAAAAGAGAGTGATAATTTGTAAAGAAGAAAAAAAAAATGAAAGTTATCCCTCTTTTAGAGAGCTTTTAGAGAGAAGAAGAAGAGAGATAAAATTATCATTATTTAAGAGATAAAAAAAAGACAAAAAAAGTTAATCATTCTTTGATAGAAAAGAAGAAGAGAGAGAGTTATTATTTCTAAACAGAAGAAGAAGATTAAGAGGGCAAGTGATCATCTTCTTAAACCTTTATTTGTAGCGATAGAAAAGAGAGAAGGGAAGAAACATCAGAAAAAGACAACCTTTTATTTTATAAAGAGAAGCATCTAGAAAAAAAAAAACTTTATGAGAGAGAACCTCATAAAGGAAAAACATTGAAAAGGTGAATCATGTAAAATATTAGTGCCATTAAGTTATTTGCTTTATTTGTATGTTTTATCACTCATACACACACATCGACTTTGACATAATTTTGTACTCCATATATCATCATTATGTTATGTACATTCGCATTCATGCGATAGGGCTTTAACTGGGTGAGGCCAACATCACTCTAACCCCATCCCAGCTGCTCTGTGCATTTGTGTGCATTCGCATTCGTACGTGAGGGCTTTAACTTGGTGAGTCCAATATCACTCTAACCCCATCCCAGCCTCGACCTTCAATGGAGGTGAATTAGGTTTTTTTTTTCTAGAGAGAGCAATGGATTTGAATGAAAGAAAGAAAAAAAATCATGTCCAGTATTTGCATTGTCGAACAATAAGCAACTTAGTAAAAAATAAAAAATACGACAGGAGGGAGGAGGATGCTTGTAATTTCCCCAATAGTGTTTATATGCGATTTGCAACCTCACCTTTTATGCTAACCATAAAGAAAAAGCTCTTTACCTTTTTCTTTCCTCATCTTTTTCTCCAAAGTCTCTCATGTTAAGGAAGGGATTGTCCTTTACTATCTTTCACAACATTGTATAGGGTATTTATTTTATTCTTTACCCTCAGAATGTGTAAGTGGTTCGTGGCGTTGAATGAAGGAGGGTTCACTTTCTATCTCTAAGGTTTTAGAAATTTTACATGGTATCAAAGCTTTTCATGTTCTTTCTCTAAACAAAGATTTAATCTGTAAGTGCTTCCTCACTCTCTACATTGTTCTTTCAATCGATTCTACATTGTTCTTTCTCTGTATTTCTTTCAATCGATTCTACATTGTTCTCTCTCCAACCTCTCTGTATTTCTCTCTATGGTTGTCTTTGAAGTCACATCTTGGTTTATTAAGGTAGCCTTTGTTTCTTATTCTCTCTAGCATTTTGCTTCTTTTTCTCTTTCTAGCATTTTGCTTCTTATTCTCTGTCTAGCATTCTCTGTTTTTCAGTGGCCCAATTTCAATGGGTTCTTTGCTCCTGCCTATGTTTCTGTAGCATTTTCTGAACTGTCTCTCTATCGCCCGTTCCCTCTCTAGCGTTCTCCACAATCCTCTCTCACTGTATTTCTTTTCTCTCTCTAAACTCCTCAACTTAAACTTTGGAACTTGGTGCAAGCTTTTTTTGGCTGTCGATGGACCTAACAGAGATTTTGAATTTGAAGCCTTTCTCTTGTTGGCATATGAGGCTTTAATTGCATGCTTTGGAATATTTGATTGTATGGAAGGAGTTAGTATTTGGTAAATAATTTGTTGGAGGGACACCTGAAGCAACCCCAACTTGACATTCCACAGTAGAATGAAAAGAATGAGGCATCTATGAAGCTTGAGATGGAACAACACCAATGAAAACGCAGTATCTCAAAGTATTGGTTTAGAGAGAGTATCCAGCAAACCCACCTCATATAAAAATAAAAAATAAAAAAAATCGAACTGGGATTTTTGGTGTGGCCGTAGAGACCTGCGATTTTTGGGGTGTTTTTATGGTTTGTGGAGCTGGTTTACTCTACTGATTGAGAGTTTCTAGAGGAGTTTTTCTTTTCTCTATGTTTTTTGTGGTTTGTGTTTTTTTTCCTTTTAACTATGGTGTTTTTAAGCTTTCCATCTTTTATATCTATTAAACTCAGTAAAGACAACTATCGCAAATGGAAAGCCCAAGTTTTCAATTATATTGAAAGCTTGAATCTTTACCCTTCAAACTATGCTATCAAATTAAGAGCCACGTAAAATTAGGCTAACTATACAATAAAGGGCAAGCTTTCTATGTTTCTTCTACAGCATAAAACTTATATACTTCCTCTTATCCAATCTTCCACTCTAAATGGAGGGCTAAGATTGCTCCAATCACAATGTCACGTCTCTACACTATTTTATTACTAATTTTTTTTCTATAAACTATTTTGACACTAAATTTTAGACGTCCAATCCTCTATTAAACTCACACTAACGAAAATTATAAAAAAAATATTTTCAATAAAATAAAATAACCAAAATACCCCTAAAAATTTTAAGGGGTATTTTGGTTATTACATTTTATCAAAAAAATATTTTTAATATTTTTTATAGGTGTGACCCAATGAGAAGATGGCAAGTGGCTCTCTTTATCAAAATTGGACGGCTGAATGGTAGGGGAAGCATAAATCTTCTATGTTGTAGGGGAAGTATAGAAACCTTGTCTATGCTTTCTCTATAGCATAGAAGTTCTATCCTCCCTTTACCATCCAGCCGTCCAATTTTGATTAAGAGAGCCACTTATTGTTTGATCTTAGATTCGATGTCACAAAGTATTTTATTTTTAATTTTTTTTATACAAATTTTATGAATATGAAATTTGGTACGTGCCATCTTCTCATTGGGATGCACCTATAAAAAATATTAAACATATTTTTTGATAAAATATAATGACCAAACTACCCCTTGAATATTTCAAAAGTATTTTGGTCATTTTATTTTATTGAAAATATTTTTTTTTTATATTTTTCGCTAATGCAAGTTTAATAGAGGATCGGACATCCAAAATTTGGTATCAAAATAGTTTATAGAAAAAAAATAAAACTAAAATAAAAATAGAGACGTGTGAAATTGTGATTGAGGCAATCTTAACCCTCTATTCAGAACGGGCGATTGGATAAAGGGTAGGACATCAAACAAAGCTTGCCCAAAAAAGAACACGTGGCATATAAATTTTGAATCCTTATTTATTTATTGTTTTGACAAAAAATGAAGACCTTATGGCCTCCTGTTTCATTACTATTTTTCTAGGTCCGCACACAAGAATGAATAACTCTTCCCAAGTCACCAATCTACTCATATATCATCCCTAATCTCAACTCCAAAGACATTAAATGAATCTTTATTCCTAAACTCAACTAATTTAAAGATCCTCTCTCCATAAGTATAGGAAAATAAAGATTTCCATCAACTAATTAGGAACCAAACGTACTTCTAAATGGAGTTTGGGCTGAGGCAAACTTTGTCATGTCTCGGTATTGCCATCTCGTGTTGTCGCCTTCAAAGTTCAAACAAAGGGGTATCTTTGACAATTTCAATATTGGTAGTGGCGGTTTTGTCCATTTGAATTTAAATGTGGGGTATTTTTGTCTTTTTCGTCTGGTAATGCCAGAGGCTCTGCTCTGAGTCTGAGGCTCCCACGTTCTCACAACCTTGAGCATCGTGCGAAGAATCATAACTTTTCAATTTAAAACTGGTCAAACAAACCATGGTAAACATAGCCCTTCTCTTTACGAAATTTAACTAAAATGCCCCCAAGTTTTGGAACACTCGAAAATGTGCTCATCCTAACGATAGTGTGCAGCGTGCACAAGTAAATGGAAATTAGTCTGCCCCCCAAATTTTACATAAGATGATGTAAGTATTATGCACCAAAGAAATTCACCTTTAAGGAAATAGGGTTGTCAATTTGCCAGACAACTTAAGCCTAGCCCTAAGAAACTAAAGCTTGAGTGGCCCAGGGGTTGAGTCAGGGTCAATATAGGGTTGGGGTGGACGACACCTACATTAGGGGCACAACAGGGCTAGGCCAGCCTAAACCTTATTATTTATTTATTTTTTATTAGTTTTATTTGTTGTTGCCCCACCCGTTTTTTAGTAGATAGGTTTTTTAGAAATAATTGGTGGTTTTCAAATGCGTTAGTGGGAATGACAACTTAGGTCGATAGCTAAAACTCAAGGACTAACTTCAACCCCATTCACCCGCTTGAATAGGCCCAGGCCCTACTCCTCAAGTCAGTTATGGGAAGCACCAGATCAGGTGCCCTGGCCCAGACTAGCCCAGCCTGGTCCCAAGCCCACATGTAAATGACAAATCCTACAAAATCTTGCAAAAACTTGAGTTTCCCAAATATTTATAGAAAAATGATCCTATAGGATCTTCCCTCATATGTGTAGGACTTCAAATGATCATTATTAAATTTGACACAGATCTACAGAAAAGTCAAGTCCTACATCTATGTGATAATTTTTTAGAGAACTGTGCTAAATTTAATGGTGATTATTTAAAATCCTATACATATAGGTGGGGGAAGGTCCTATCGAACCATTACTCGTATTTATATTTCTTGTATATCATAATTTGCCCAATATAATGAAAATAAAAACTATAGGCACCTTGGATATTTATTACAAAAATAGGGTTAATTGTTTAACTTCTCCATCTGTGGTGAGGTGCACCGCGGGAGGCTCCAAGTCCCACTTGGTTTCCGTTATTCAAACTTCCAAATTTCAAAAATATCGAAAGGAAAAGTTTTGGTAATTCCCAAAAAATTTATGAAAACCATTTTTTTTAAAAACAAGAAGAGAAAAAAAAAATGATTTCGACTGGTTAAATGCCACGTTCCAAACTAATTTAAAATTGGGGAGAAAAAAATTCCCATTTTTGGCATGAAAAGGAGTCCCAAAAACTAATTATGGTAAAACCAGCCAAGATGGTAAATCAGAAACAAATGAAGTATTCAACAAAAAAGAAGAAGAAGCCAGTTTTGATTGTTGTTGGATTCAAAATTTCTGGTTTTTACTGATAGCTTTCTCTGTACTTCATTTTCTACTTTGTCTCACCCTTCCCATGTCATAGGTGCCCATCCCTCTCTGTCCTTTCCCTTCTTTAAAGTTGAATTCTTTCATTTTCTTATTCAAAATTTGTTTCTTTTGCCCCTCTGTTCTTGATCAAATCTCTCTTTCTCTCTATACTATTGGCTCTTTTGTCGGTTTTATCAACGTGGATCTTTGGGTCTTTTTCATTTTTTTATAGATTTGATTCCTGCAAATGTACGGTTGACCATTGGATTTTAGTGAATAAATCTATTCTTATTAGCAATATTATGTAATTTTGGGGATTTTGTTGTTTCATAAATGCTTTAAGTTTGGTTTTTTAAACGATACATTTGAGTGGGAAAATTTGTTCATCAACCGAGAAGGAAACATGGAAGACGATGGAGTTTTTGTTTGTGAAATTAATGATCAGAAATGGGTTTTTGGGATTCATAAGTAAGGCCAAGACTGGGTCTTCACCTTCTTATTTTTTCTATTATATACAGGAATTCTGAGGATTTCTTTGGTTTTTTGGCGAGTAAGAATCATTTTCTTCGTTTTTTAATGTCTAGTTATTATTATTATTGGTAGTGGTGTTTTTATTATCTGATGCTTTCTTTAATCCCTTGGGCTCTAAAACTATATCTCTGAAACTTTTTTTTTGTTGTTGTAACGAGTATATGCTTTCACAATTCATAACTTCTGAAACTCCCTTCTAGAGATAATTTCCTAACTCTAGGAATGGATATTTAAAAGCTTGATCTCAATGGGTCAAAATGTTCTCATTTTCAGGCTTTCTGACAGGAAAATCTGTGACTTTTCGAAATTTGGGTCACTTGATACTTGATAGCAATCACAAATCATGTTGTGTGCTTGTTCCGGAGAACAATTCAAGTTCGAGGAGGTTCCACAATCGCCAGAATCACTTGCTACAAGGGATTTCTCGGCGAGTGCCCTCTCTTCAAGAACATGGGATTGGGATTCGAGGTTTGAAGAAAGCCAGCTTGAAGATGTGGAATGCACTCTTAAAGAAGCTCTCTCTCTGAATTATGAGGTTGGTTTCTTGTGTTTTACCAAAAACTATGCCTACCCAAAATCGAAAATATTTTTTCTGGGGTGATTTCAGGTTAGATTCCATGAATGTGGAATTTTCGCTTTTTTATTTCCTCAGAACGAAGAGGTTGGGTCGTTCAGTTTCCCTGATTTAGAGGGTGGTTTATCCAAATTCAGGTTGTTTTTTTTTCTTTGCCCACCAAAGGCAAATGGTTCTCTGATTTGCAGACTGAATCCTGAACTGTGATATTGCTTTGTTTTCATAAAAATGGGGGTTTTCCTCTTTTTCATGGAGGTTCTATTATCCGAAATTCTGGATCGTTAGTACTTAAAAGTTGTATTTGATTCACAAGAAAAGACGTTTGGTTTTTTGAACATGTCTATGTTGATATCTTTCAATTCTTAAACCCACCCAAAGTGGTTGGGTTTTTTCATATTTCTCTACTGTGGTTTCAATTCCTTGTGCTCTGAAATGGCTTTGTTGTCTTTTGCCTTTTGTTTTTTTAAAAATAAAACAAAACCACGCACTGTTGAAGAAGAAGTATACTCAGCTTTTTATGTTGCACATGCCTTTTTATCCACCCAAAAAGATGTTACTGTTTGCCAGCATTTTGTTTTTTTTTTTTTTTTCTTGTTTTCTCTCCTGTGATAATTACATTCTCTTCTTTGCAGGTGTTATGATTTTTTTTTTCCTTGTTTTTTAATCTTCTCTAGAAAAAATTTGGTTTTTATCAGCTTTCTCTTGATTTTCCTTAGCTTTGTTTGATTTGCAAGTTCAACTCTCTGAATTGTGGGGCTTCTTTTCTTTTTCACTCTCCCAAGAGAAAGTCTGTTTGTTCTCTTTTCTCTGTCTATTTTTATTTTCCATCTCTCTAATTATTGGGCAGAATTCCCTTCTTCTTAGACCTCTCAAAATACTACAATTCGATATTTGATACAGGAAGCAAGGGCCTTGTTAGGACGACTTGAATATCAGAGAGGGAATTTCAGTGCAGCACTTCAGGTGTTTCAGGGAATAGACATTAGGGGAATTGCACCTAGAATGAGTAAATCTATAGCTGAGAGACCCAAACGGAAGAAAGGGAAGTCGAAAAGTGAGCCTGCGCCTACAAATGTTATGTCCATGCACTCTGTGAGCCTTCTATTAGAGGCAATTTTACTTAAAGCTAAGTCCTTGGAGGGTCTTGGCCGTTATAAAGGTATCTGTTATTTGCCGATTCAGATATCTATGTTAGGCAGTGTTCTTCTTATTTACAAGAGTGGCTCTCTTCTCTTAGAGTTTATTCCCTTTTAATTTAAGAACCCTTTACCTCTCATATATCTTCTGATTAATTATTGGGTTTTTGGTGTAATTGTTTGTTAAGTATACCTGTTTTTCTTATGAGCTATATTACTTGAGCTTTTTCCTTTTTTATTTATTATGTGCAGATTTCATGGCCTCACACACATGCCAGCTATTTCAGGGTAGTTATGAATTGGACCTTGAAAAGAGTAGAACTTTTTACCTAATGGGTTAGCAGATTATGTTCCATATGACCATCAAAAAGCCATGGTCGTAACTTGTAAGTGTTATAACCATCCCAACCATGGATGGACAGTGATGGTGACAGCAGGACCTCCAACTTGGGTGATTTAATTTGATGTTTTGATCTGTCCACTCTCTGCCCATCACTGTCTATCCATTTATTGGATAGTAATGCCACTTAGCATCATATGTTTTCTATGACTATATGGATAACGTTATACTTCTTTTTCACTAATGAAATTGAAAATTGATGATTGATAAGAGTTGAGAGGGAGAAAAATGTGAAATTTATTGCTTTGATTCCCAGTGGTTAAGAATGATCATCATCAGAGCTATTTCCCAACTATTTGGGATCGATTACATGAATCCTGGTCTGTCATTCTGTTCTATCAAGGGTCATGCTCTCAATGAGGCCATAAGTCCCCATATCTTTTCTCACTACTTTCAATTGTGTCCTCTCGGGCTTACTCCTTGCCCTTTATAAGCCTTCCACTTGAACTAACTCGCTCCTCTCAACAGGTGCTGTACTCAGTTTGCGCTGCACATGGCCAGCCGACCTAAGCCTATTTTTTCTCATCTTATCACTTATTAGAGCCGTACCTAAGTTCTCCCAAATGTATTTATTTCGATTTCTATCACTTCTTGTCTTGCCATTCTTCCATCTCAACATCCAATCAGTGTTTAAGAATGAACTAATGAAATTATGAATTTATTTGCAGATGGATGAGATTTTCCCTCTACATAAAACAGCACCTTTGAAGGAATGATATTTTCTTTTATAGGTCGCCTTATGATCGTGCATTGAAATGATAAGTAACTAGATTTATTTCTGCTTCTTTTTTTTTTGTCTTTTCTTTAATTTTGAGTTTGGACATTTCAGATGCTGCAAGGGAATGCAAAACAATAATCGATACGGTGGAATCTGCACTGCCCAATGGGATACCAGATGGGTTTATTGATGAATGCAAAATGCAAGATATGTTTCACAAGGCCCTTGAATCTCTCCCTAAGCTCTGGAAGCAGGCTGGCCTTATTGAAGAAGCTATCTTCGCTTATCGTCGAGTACTCATCAAGCCATGGAATTTAGATCCAATAAGTTTGGCCGCTATACAAAGAGACTTAGCTGCAGTTCTTCTATACAGTGGCATTGAAGCCAGCCCACATCCTGATTTGCAAACCTCCTTGAAGATCACCCCAATGTCTAACACAGAGGAGGCAATTTTATTACTTTTGCTCCTTATGACAAAGGTAGCTTCCCAAGAAATACCTTGGGACCAAGAGATATTTAACCATCTTACATTTGCATTATCTGTAGCTGGGCTCTTTGAGCCTCTATCTGATCATATTGAGCAAATTTTTCCTGGTGTTCACCATAGAGCGGATAGATGGTACCTTCTTGCTCTTTGTTACAGTGCTAGAGGAGAAGACGAGGTAGCTTTGAATTTGTTAAAGAAGAGTTTGGGTCCTAGTGAGAAGCCCAATCACCTCCCTTCTCTTCTTCTGGCAGCAAAGCTATGTTCCCAAAATCCCAAACTTACTCACGAAGGAATAAATTTCGGCCAAAGGGCTATTGATTGCTCCAAAGATGACCATAGGCACGGTGTTGCCCACTTCTTACTTGGAGTAAATTATGGGAAATATGCTAGGCATGGTGGGGTGTCAGATACAGAGAGGAAGGTTTTGCAAGGTGAAAGCTTGAAATCATTACAAAAAGCTTTATTGACAGAGAGACAAGATCCATATGTGATTCTTTGTCTTGGATTGGAGAATGCAGTCCAAAGAAACTTGACGGAAGCTTTGGATAATGTAACCAAATTCCTTGAGGTGGTGGGTGGTAGTTTGGTGGAAGGATGGAGGCTCTTGGCACTGGTTTTATCGGCAGAACAACAGTTTAAGGATGCTGAGACAATAGTGGACATTGCTTTAGACGAGACAGAGAAAGATGAGAGCTTGAGGTTTTTGAGGTTGAAAGCAATGCTTCAAATCTCGGAAGGGCAACCCTCTCAGGCTATTGAAATATATAGAACCTTGCTCACTCTTGTTCAAGCTCAGAGGGAAAAAACTCCTTGGAAAACTGATATGGAAGTATGTTTGACTCTTTTATCAGTAAAAATGGGTAGACAAAATGGCATCACCCCCAAAAACCATGTTAAAAGCAAAAATCGAAAAATGAAAAAGTAAAAATAGTAGCTCAATAATCAAGTAACATTACAAAACCAAAAGGGAGACTGACAGCTTTTGCTTTTTTGTTTTTTCGCCTATTAGCATACACTCGCAGTTTGCAGTGAGCATCAAGGTTACTGATAATTCTTTGGTGGGCCGTCTTTTTGGACAGGTAGGTTTTGGCAAAAATTTCGAAATGAAAGCATGGCATGATTTGGCAGGCATTTATACAAGACTTGGGATGTTCTCTGATGCATGTGTTTGTGTGGATAAAGCAAAATCCATCAGCTTCTATTCACCCATGAATTGGCACGCCACAGGTTGTAATATTCTTCTCAGTTCAAAGGTTAAGCACCTCCGTTTGTGTCTATCTCCACAAAGACGACCACTTGTTTTGGTTCTATGATTATGACTATGGTCTCTCCTATAACTCTGACCTATTTAATCTAAAATCTCTGATAGGCTCCATTTGGGACATTTTCAAACGAAAAGTTAAATTTTTTTCACGCATTGCTGCATCCACCTTACATGTCCTTCTAATTTCTGCAAATTTTGAGCCTTTTTTGGGCTTATACATGACTTGGGTGAGTCTGAAACTCTGCTCGGAAAAGGGCAGAGTCCTAAGCCTGAGCCAAGTTTTTAAACCTTGAAATGAACAATACTAACATAATAATCATTTTCAGGCGAGCTTTTTGATTCCCAGTCACTACATGGAGAGGCCCTAATAGCCTTTTCAATCGCTCTATCCATTGATCCTGACCATGTTCCTAGCATGATCTCCATGGCCAAAGCACTGAGACAGCATGGAAAGAAGTCACTTGCCATTGCTAGAAGTTTCTTGATGAACGCTTTAAGATTGCAACCCACTAACCATGAAGCTTGGTTGAACCTTGGTATAGTCTCAAAGATGGAAGGTTCACTTCAGCAAGCTGCTGATTGTTTCCAGGCCTCATATGAGCTAAAACTGTTGGCACCAGTGCAAGACTTTGACTGACTGATTGATGTCTTTTTTGGGTTTATTCAGGTTCTTTTGATATATTACAGAGCTTTGCTTCTTACAGACCTATCTTGGTGTATTATGTGAAATGATATCAACAAATCACTAAGTAAGTTATTAAACAAATAGCAAGTGAAATAAGCTTATGAGTGTACTGGTTTGGATGATCAGCCCGCAATGACAGATGGGTTCAATGTAACTTTTATGTAGGTTTACGTTGATTGATGGATGACCCCTTTCTGGTCAGTAATATGACATGGATTCTGTAAATTTGGTGGGCTTCAAGCCAATTGCAACTGAAACAAAGATTCAGTGTGCTTGTTCAGAAGACTACCCCACTATGATAAATGAGTTCTTCATAAACTCAAATGTGGGTTTAGTTGAGTTTCTCTTACGTCAATCGTTGTTCGGGCTCGTTGGTTGAAACGTACAAATTCAACAGCTCAAGACGAGCATGTAAAATTTTGTCACTGCAGATTTTATGGAACTTGGAGCCTTGTTAGAGTCTCATTGCCATCTGTATAATTTCATATTGTAGCATGCATTATATATGTTGAAAATATACGCGGAAGCTTTATTTGTTGATGGCCTGATGTGTTGTTATGTACATACGGAAAAAAAAGAAGAAAAGTATACATTAAGATTATTTACCTTTAGTACAAGGTAGTTGCAATTAATCTTGACCATTGGATGTAGAATTGAATAGTTGCATTTATTCTATTAACCAAGTACAAACTTCAACAGATATTTTTTAGAACTTTGTGACGCACTCAAGCTATTAGATTTCATATTGATATTGAAGGGTTCTAAATGATCGTGACCTTTTTGTATCAATGGTTTAAAAAGCGGATCGATGATCCGGATCGGGTACCTCAAAAACCGATCCAGATCGGCCATCCGATTGGGAATCAGGTGAATCGGTCAGAATAAAGCTTCAAAAAAATCCGAAAAAATTATTAAAATTCATTATAAATATTGTTTTTTAGGAATTCAATAAGAAATGAGGGTACTCCATTAAGAATTTTCATGTTTTTGCATGAATATGTGAATATTGATATGTTCTTTCCCTGTATGAACTACTATTCAGCATTTAATTTACATCACACAAAAGGATAAACATAGAATTTTCATGGAGTAAGTATATCAACATACATGGACTACAATAAAGCATACAATTAGTAACATACGATCTAAAAATAAAATAACAAACAACGTTGTTGTTCTTCTTGGTCACGTTGGTGCCATTGATTGAATTCGTTTGACAATTCATTGATTTGATCTAAAAACGAATCATCGATATTAGCAGGCATCTGACTATACCCAAATCCTTGAGAGTTAGTGTTTTGTTGTGTTGCCAATCCAAAATCCCCGAAGCTTGTCCATCCTTCATGCTCACCTACACTGTCATGCTCATCCTTATACTGTTGCTGTTGGGACTCGATATGTGAATGATATGGCTGGGATAAAGTGGCCTCAGAATCATCGTCTCTCTCATTTTCTCTTAGACCCCCTTCCCACTCTCCCTCATTAGGCGCAATATCACCGACATCTTCGACGAATTGTGGATGCGTTGGCTGACTGCTTCCGCTTTCATGTTGCTCATCACCTTCTTCAGATCTTCCTCATCGATAGCCTCAAGGAGTGCTCTCTTGTGAAACACTGGCTCCTCCTCTTCTACTACCCATTGGTCTATTGTGTTTGTGACAAATATTTTGTCTAAGTCTATTGACCCATAATCTTCAAGCTACCTTCTTATTTGTCGCTCTCGGAGGTTTAAATTATAATGAACGTACACTAGTTTATGAAGCTTCTCAGAAGCAAGTCGATTCCTCCTAATAGTGTGCAACCATTGGAACGTACTCCAGTTACGCTCACAGCCAGTAGTAGAACATGTATGGGAGAACACCTTGATTGCTATCCTCTTTAGGTGAGGTACATCAGTACCATATATCTCTCACCATTCAGCTGGATTAAAATGCAAAAAGTATTGTAAGGGCAAGAACAATTCATAAGATTAAATATCTGAATGAACAAAATATTAGTGAGAAGATAACCTGGATCCATCATAGTTCGAGAATTCCTGGCAAGTCTAGTTCCGAAGGATCCTATAGCATCCCTATACATAGCAAGCTAAAACAAATATATTACGTTTTAGTGGATTATTCTTCACAAATATAACAACTCAATGAAATTCTTACCTTTGTTAGCATTAAGAATTGCCGCCATCTATTTTTTTACATTACTAGGGATACTAGTGCATGTAAAAACATCTCCTTTAACCCCTGCCAAGTGTTACTTGAACCTATGTACCCCACTACTTATCACTCTTTGACAGTAATTACAAATAATTTTGTCTTTTTTGTTGGGATCAAGTCTGACCCCATGTTGCCATGCAA